GGAAAGCACACATGCAAGTGGGGTAGGGACAGAGAGAGAGGGAGAGAGAGAATCCCAAGCAGGCTCTATGCTGTCATCATGGAGCTCGATGCAGGGCTCGATCTCAGGAATCATGAGATCATGACCTGACCCAAAATCAAGAGTCAGAAGCTTAACCAGCTGAGCCACCCAGGCATCCCCCCGCCTAAGAGAATGTCAGTGGGAACATACTGTGTTTACTCTTTGAACCTTGTTTAGAGCTCTTTTTATTAGCCTTACTTAAGGAATTACTTCATTCTTTTAATGCCTGCCCATATTCAACTAAATGAACTCTGTACTGCAATTTATTTAACAAATCCTTTATTGATGGACATTTTGATCACTTCCTGTCTGTTACTATTTCCACTAATGTTGCATTGAAACTTTTACATTTGTTTTAGCACATATGTGCACACACATTGTAAGATAAATTCTATGAAGTGGAATTGTGGTAAAAAGGTAATAAGTATTTAATAAGTTTCCTGTTGCCAAGTTACCCTCCAAAAAGTCTGCACCAATTTGCATTTTCATCAAAAGTGTATGTGAGTACCTGTTTTGCCCCACCTCAGGAAGTTTGCTTTAGTAAAATTTGGTAGTTAGAAATGGTACTTAATCATTGTTGAAATATGCCATGTCTTTAATTATAAAGGAGGTTGAACATCTATTTATATATGTATAAACCATTTGTATTTCTTTTTCTGTGAACATTTCATAAACTCTGCCCATTTTTCTGTTTTTTTGTCTTTTTCTTAATTTGTAGTAGCTTGTTAGATGTTTAAAAAACTAGATCTTTTCATGTGTGTTGCAAGTGTTTCTTTCCAGTTTGTCACTTGAAATCAAGTGACTTTTCAAGGAAACCTGTGTAAAATTTATCATACTTATCACTGCCTTCTTGAAAGAATTTAATCTGATAATGTAATGATACATATTCATTATAAAACATTAAAGCTCTGCAGAAAAATATAAGGAAAAAAATTGAAAAGTATTGGTAATCATAACACCTACATATAAATTTAGTTCATATTGTTTGTATAGCTTTCTAGGTATTTTTCAGTATGTGAATTTGTTTTAAAAAATTTACACTTTTTAGTTTTCTCTCACTGATACAATGAACCTGTTTATTGTATAAAACTTGCAAAATACAGACTTTTACAAAGTAGAAAACTAAAACCAGGTTTAATTGTACCAAGCCACAGACTGAGAGAAAATAGTTGATAATCACATATCTGATTAAAAAAAAAATCCTTGTATTTAGAATGGAAATAAAAGTCAACAATAAGAACACAAACAACCCAATTAAAAAAATAGGTAAATACACTTTACCCAAGATATATATGGAGGACAGATAAGCATGTAAAAAAATCCTCCACATCAATTATTATAGGGGAACGCACATTAAAAGCACAAGTAAACTACCTGGCAGTGAGAATTGCTAAAATTCACAGCAACAACAAAACAATGGACAGCAGCAAATGAAGATGAGGCTGCAAGGCTCTCATCTCCTGGTGGTGGGAATGCAGGCTGGCGCAGCTGCTTTCAAAGGCAAGTTGGCAGTTTCTTGTAAAGTTAAACATGCACTTAACTGTATGACCTGGCAATCCTAGTTATTTTCTCAAGTGAACTGTAAGCTGATGTTCACAAAAGTCCTGTACATGAATGTTTATAACATCTTTGTTAACAATGGGTAATAACCAAGATGTCATTCAACTGGTGAATGAATAAACAAACTGGCACATCCATATAATGGAATACTATTCAGCAATAAAAAGGAACAAGCTATTAATATGCATTGCAACATGGATGAATCTTCAATACATTTTCTAAGTGAGAAAAACAAAACTTAAAAGGTTACATGTTTTATGATTCCATTTATTTGACATTATGAAAAATGCAAATATATAGGGATGGAAAGCAGATTTGTGGACACTGGGAAAGGAGAGTGGTTTCACAAGGGTATTTTTACAGTGATGGAATGGTTCTATATGGTACTGGGGTGGTGGTAACATAATTGCATTTGTGAAGCCTTTATAGAGGTAACTTTATTGTATAAAAGTTGAAAAAGTCAACCAGAATATCAGGAGATCCCAGGTTGAAATTCCATCAGTAAGAAAAGGATCTAACTATATTACATACAAGTGACATATTGCACTCAAGGATGGGTTAGCATATATACATCTATTCCCTAGCTCTGTCTGTTGCTCGAGCCTAGAAACAGTGATACCTCAGTAAGCAGTCAGCATGTCCAGGACCCAGATATTGGTCTCTAAATACCATCCCCAATAAAAGGAATGAGAGCTCCTTGAAGAAATGGTCCATTCTGGGGCTGGGGCAGTGAAAATATGAGTGGCTGTGGAGTAGCTTATAGTGCCAGAAAGTAAGGAAGTGCTAAAAAAAAAAAAAAAAAAAAAAAAAAAAAAAAAAAAAAAAAAAAAAAAAAAAGCCAATTCGAAAGAACTCCCAGTGGTCAAAGAGAGAATAATTTGAGCAATAAAATAAATAATGATATAACCTGAAGAATAAAATATCCATGAGTATATATTGATAAAAATAAATGCTTGAATAATTAAGCGTATGGGGAAGAAGACACAAATCTCCCTTCAGTGGTATCTCCAGGTAATTTATATGCACGTTAAAGTTTGAGAAGCACTGATCAAGGTAACACAAGTGCCAAACCTAAGGGTAAGAGCTTACTAGGTTCTTTTTCTCTGTACATAAAATACTGATGATGAAGAGGGTCTTTAAAAGATAACCAATCCATGTTTAGTTATACAACTGATTTCACCAGTGTGATCCCATGTCTAACATCCTGTATGCTGATAAACCACTAATTTTGCTAATGAAAACCCTTTTCTGTGTCTCTGCTAGTTAGCCAAACATTTGTTGTTAAACAGTAATAAAGGTAGCCTAAGGGCTTCTAGTAGCTCCTGAAGGAGTGTAGTTCTAATTAAATTGTTAGGTGACTTATCCCAAGTATGAATCCCTGATTAAACAACTAACTATCCCTAGAATATTTCTAAACATCTACTTTAGCTGGAGTCCACATTTTCACTCCTAATATTCATTTGTGCCTTCTTTATTCTTACTCTTCTTATTCCTGGCCAAAGAAAATGTTATGTTGGAGAAATACAATTAAAAACAAAATACCCTACCAATCCAGAAAACCTCTCACAAAAGTAGAAAAGAAAGAAAATAGTTTTATTATTGAATAAGCATTCAACTGGAATGAGATATGCTCACAGGTAATCTGTAAAAGAGATTGTGAAGAGAGACAGAAAGAAAATCTCACCCTTTTATATAGCCAAGCAGATACAACCCTTTACACATGTTCTAAAGATGAGTGATAACTAGTCCTCAAGTAAGAGGACATGATAGTACTGTCTGTCACACACAATTTCATCATAAATTCACCTGATAATTGGGGCTACTATCTGTGTTAGTTAACAGGCTTTATGCAAAGGAAAAATAAACTCGTATCTTTATGACAAGAGTTTGTTTTGCAGCTTGGAGCAAGTTGCCCACCAAAGTTAAGCTCCTACCCTATTACAGAAACTGGGAGATAGGGGGCTATCTCTCTTGATGTTTACATTTCCAAGAGATGGCTCCTAAGTCCTTGAGAAACATTCCTGGATTGTAAACCTGGCAAGGGGCTTATTTTGTTTTTAAAAAGATTCACATGTATCTCAAAGAAGCAAGAAAGAATTTACAAATTTTCTGAAGAAAATGCTTAAAGAGAAGTGAGGAGGGAGTCTTTTTCCCTTTTTGCACTAGGGAAAATTAATTTTTTTTCTATTTGTATTTACCTTTACAGTTGTCTCAGGTAAAAAGCAAACAGAACAACATAAAAAATGTTAAGTGTGAAAAAGGAGAATGCTTATCTTTTATAATTTAAGTATTAAATCTGAAAGCAATCCTAAAAATATTCCAAAGACTCTTGTATTATTTATTTATTTAAAGTTATTTATTTTGAGAGAGAGAGTGAGAGTGTGCTCATGTGTATGTGCACATAAGTAATGGAGAGGTAGAGAAAGAGAGAGAGAGAGATGGAGAGAGAGAGAATCCCAAGCAGGCTCAGTGCTGTCAGCACAGGGCCCAATGCAGGGCTCTAACTGTGAGCCGTGACATCTTGACCTGAGCCGAAACCAAGAGTCAGACGCTTAACCTGCTGAGCCATCCAGATGCCCCCAAAGAGTCTTTTTAAAAGCAGTGTTCCCATTATGGGGCTCCCAAAGAATACTTTGGGATGTGTGTTTCCTGACATGATTGTTTAAAAACACATTTTTAAAATTCACCTCCCTTATGGATAGATATGCCTAAATTCTTTGATAAAACTATAATAGGACATCTTGTTTATTTATTGTACAACCTTACTGTAGAAGTATATGGTGCTGATTCACTCTATCTGTATTTCCATAACACTTGGTACATATTTCCACTGTATCCTTCATTATACTATAGTTATTAAAATAAATCTTTAAGAATAGGAGCCATTTAATTTTTCTGAAATTGATTATGCAATAGCTAGTAAGTTGATGTTAACACACACATCAAAGTGACCTATGTTGCTTGGTTAATTTACTTAATTTTATTCTAACTTTCTAGTCACAAATTATAAAGTTATAAATCCATAAAACATTTTTGATAAACATTTTCTTATCCCATTCTAGATGAATCAGATTGTCATTTGACTCAAATCAGGTAGAATATTGCCTTCTGAAATGACAATTACATGTTTATCAGTAGGGAAATTGGGAGTAGAAAAAAGTAAAATTTCCTGCCTTAAATTTTTTTTCATTTCCTGCATAGGCCATATTGCTAAGAAGCCATTTTATAAAAAATAAATTTTATTGAGGTATAAGTTTATTACAATAAAATACATCTGTTTTAGGGAAGCCCCCCTCCTTTTTTTAAAGTTTTAAAAAATTTATTTATTTTGAGAGAGAGAGAGAGTGTGTGTGTGTGTGTGTGTGTGTGTGTGTGTGTGTGTGTGTATGTGAGTGGGGGAGGGGCAGAGACAGAGGGAGAGAGAATCCCAAGCAGGCCCAGTGCTGTCAGTGCAGAGCCTGACACAGGGCTCGATCCCATGAACCGTGATGACCTGAGCCAAAATCAAGAGTTGGATGCTTAACCGACTGAGCCACCCAGGTGCCTTGAGGGAAACCCTTTTTTAAACCACTGAAAAAAGTCTGTCAATCTGTGTCAAATAGTCTTTGGTTAAAATAATCCAGTTGGTTGCTAGGGCTTTGAACATAGTTAATGTAAAATAGTGCATTGGTTCTCATAGTGTGGTGCACAGACTAGTAATGTTAGCGTTACTTGGGCTCATGTTAGACATGAAACTCTTCACCCTACTCCAAACATATTTAATCAGAAACTCTGGGGAGGGGCCTACCAATCTGTTTTAATAAGTCTGCCAGGTATTTCTGATCTGAAATGTGAGAAGCATTAAATTAATAAAATGTTTCAGTGGCTTATATAAAAATTTCAGGACACCTCAAAGTGACCTTTAGCCCAATTCCTGTTTTAGAGATGTGTACTAGTAATGAGTAACTTAATCTACTTAATTATTTACTAAGATTTTGGGGGCATCTCAGTTTTCTTTTGCTGAAGGAAACATTTTGAAAGACTGAATTACTTGGCTCAATTTTTAGTATTTTAGTTAAATTAGAAATTTAATATGATGAAATATAAATATTTTGAGATTGATAACCTTAACAGCTTTTTCCTAAAATTGCTAATCACTTCATATAGTTTTAAAATTTATCAGGTAAACCAAATATCATAGCAGATCTTTATATCTTGAATTATTGATAATTTAGCAATACTGTTTACATCAGCCAAAGAGCCAAATCTAAATTATGATATTAACTTACTGGTAAATAGCAGCATTTACCAGAACACTCTTGATTTTGCTGGATTTTAGCGCTGAGGCAGTGGGGATCAACTTTGAAACTAACTTAAAATGTATATAATTTTTGTAGTAGCCCTTGTCCCCTCCCTCACCCTTTTCCAACGTCTAATTAATCACCAATTTTCCATCGGTAGTACCTCCTAAATATCTCTGAATCTAACCACTTCTTTCTCTTACTACTGTCATTTCTTGGTCTGAGCCACCATCAGTTTTCCCCTGGACTTCCAACTCATTTATCTGAATCCATATTCACAGTGTGAAAAAAGTAGTCTTTAATAATGTACATCTGATCATGCCCCTTCTACTTAAAACTCATCAATGGCTTCTCATAAAGTCCACAGTCTACTGTTGTCTGTGAACCTTATATGATCTAGCTTTTCCAGCTTCTCTAGCTTAGACATCTTTATATAGTTACTGAAATGTGCTGTGTTTCTTTCTGCACGGGGTCTTCACACATGCTGTTTCCTTATGGTCCACCTGACCATTTATTGATTTTTAGATCTCAGTTTAAAGACTACTTTTTTCTGGAGAACTTTCCTGATATACTCTCTCCCTGCCCAATCCCCCCATATCTGTGTACTCCTTGTTATATTCTCTCATAGCTTTCTCTACACTTTGATCATTATACTTCCTTTTGTAATTCTTTCATTGTATACCTTCTCTTGTAGACTGTGTTCCATGTGGGCAAGGTACATTTTTGGTAATCCTGGTTTCCAGCAAAATAGCTGGTGTATGATGCCCAAAGTATCTGAATGAGTGAGTGAATAAACGAACAAACAATTGAACAAAGAGTGATGACTTTTCATGTGTTAAAGTAATATAAGGTTATAAAGTTGCCAGATTTTTGTGAATAAGCTGTTCCTTATCCTTGTGTATCTAGATTATGCTTGTGCTCTTCAGAGGGACATTTTGCTTCAGGGACGTCTCTATCTTTCAGAAAACTGGCTGTGTTTCTATAGCAACATCTTCAGATGGGAAACTACAGTAAGATGTATTTTGATTTGACTTGTTGATACAAATAATTGCATAGATAGAAATATATATATAGTCCTCCTAAAAACAATGTACTTTAGATTCCGAAGTAAATTTATATATATTTGTATATCTGTACTTTTATATGCGCGTGATATATTTATATATCGTAGAAGTGTGTAATCTATTTTCTTAATACATCAAGCTCCATTTGTACATATTTAATACAGTTGGAGAAAGAGATTTCAGGTTGAAAAAAGCTTGAACATACATCCATTTGACTGCCAAAATCATGTCTGATGTGACAGACTGTCTGAATTTTGTTTGTGTGTGTATGTGTTAATGTGGAACACGAACACCCACATGTCTTTTCACACTCTGTCCTAAAGTTAGAGATAAGAGCTGAGGAGGAAATTACTGCTGGGGGAGAACGTCTGACTGCTTACCCTATTTTTCTCAGAGAATGCAAGCATGTGGTTATTAACTCCTTCAGGTTTTTCAACGGAATATTCCAGATTAGATTGATTCCATACTTCGTATTTTGTGCTGCATATGTTTCAGAAAAATTCATTTAATAATTTTTCATTCTTTCACGTGTTTAGATTTGTATTGCATTAAAGAACATAACCTTCATGACCAAGGAGAAAACTGCTCGACTCATCCCAAATGCTATCCAGATTGTTACAGAAAGTGAAAAGGTGAAAAACTTTTCTACCTTTGCCTTATTACATAACGTGGAGAAAATCTGCATCATACTGATTCATCAGTGTTGGTGATGTAGGCAATTCTTCTTGGAGTTAGGAATTTGTAATAGAGATATATTGTATTTAATACTAAATTTCTGTGTAGTTAAGTACTCACTGATAATTAAATGACTGCTAACAATTTTTGTGCTTTATAGTTCACAGAGAACTTTCTCCCATATTTTTCATTTCTTCTTTATAAGAGGTAGGTAGGGTAAACATTACCAAAACATCATTATTTCTAAATGCCCTAATAATTGCATGATATTGTGTAGTCAATAATACCTGCACAGTAGCAACTAATAAAAACAAATGGTTCTGGTGAACAGAGAGATTTGGGTAGCATACAAGTAAACACGTAATCATTATACTATTTTTTTTAGGATGGCAGTTAGGGTAGCAGTTATCTTTAACTGCCATTGTTTTTATGATCCTGCCTACAATATCTGCCATTTTGTAGTGGGGATATATGAAGAATCTTTCTGTACCCACCTGGAAAATTGATTAGGGCTCTGTGTGTGACATTAGAAGCATAATGCTACTTTCAACAATAGCCAAATTATGGAAAGAGCCTAAATGTCCATCAACTGATAAATGGATAAAGAAATTGTGGTTTGTATACACAATGGAGTACTACGTGGCAATGAGAAAGAATGAAATATGGCCCTTTGTAGCAATGTGGATGGAACTGGAGAGTGTTATGCTAAGTGAAATAAGCCATACAGAGAAAGACAGATAACATATGTGTTCACTCTTGTGTGGATCCTGAGAAACTTAACAGGAACCCATGGGGGAGGGGAAGAAAAAAAAAAGAGGTTAGAGTGGGAGAGAGCCAAAGCATAAGAGACTCTTAAAAACTGAGAACAAACTGAGGGCTGATGGGGGGTGGGAGGGAGGGGAGGGTGGGTGATGGGTATTGAGGAGGGCACCTTTTGGGATGAGCACTGGGTGTTGTATGGAAACCAATTTGACAATAAATTTCATATATTTTTTAAAAAAAGCATAATGCTGAGAAAGCAAAAGAGATAAGGAAGGAAAAGAAGGAAAGTAGGGAAAAGGGAAAAGAAGGGAATGAAAGGGAAGGAAAAGGAAGGAACCACAGAAGGAACGAAGGGAGGCAATGAAAGGAAAAAGAGAGAGGAAAGAGAAGCAGGGGAGAGAAACACTATCATGACACTGAATCATTGTAATGATACTTTTAAATCTTACAGTTTCTTTCCAATGCACTTTAAATTTTATTTTTATTTACTTATTATTTTTTATTTTTTAAAGTTTATTTATTTATTTTGAAAGAGAGAGAGTGTGAGCAAGGGAGGGGCGGAGAGAGTTGGAGAGAGTGAGAATACCAAGTAGGCTCCTTGGCATCAGTGCAGAGCCCAAATTGAGTCTTGAACTCATGAATGAGATCATGGACCTGAGCCAAAATCAAGAGCCAGATGCTTAAGTGACTGAGCCACCCAGGTGCCCCTATTTTTAAATAATCTTATCCTTCTAGAATACTCCCCAGTACAGTACAAAGAACTTATCCCCTTGGAACTATTTGAGAGTAAGTTGTTACTCTGAAACCTCATTACTCCAGATAGCAAACCAAATATCCTAGCATGTATTTCCAACAAAGAGATTCTCCTGCATAAGCGCAAGCTGACCATCAAAATCAAGAAATTACCATTGACCATTACCATTGTTCAATCCTCAGACCTTCTTCAGTTCCCCCAGATATTCTAATAACATCCTTTATAGCAATTAGATGCAGTTTAGAAATACATAATTACTTTTAGTTGTCATGCTCTTTAATTTCCTTATTCTGAAATAGTCTCTTAGTCTTTTTTGACTTTTGTGCCCTTGATACTTTTAAAGATTACAGGTGTTATTTTTTAAGTTATCCCTCAATTGTGTTTGTTTAATATTTCCTTGTAACTAAACGTAGGTTATGCAATGTTGACAGAAAGTGACATGAAAGTGATACTCTGTTCTTTACACTGCATCCTATCAGATGGCCCATGACTTCAGCTTCTACCATTATTGGCGATATTCACTTGGATCACTTGATTAAGATGGTTAATCTGCCAGACTTTACTGTAGTCTGTTTTCCTTTGTAATAATATTTGGTGGCAAGCTACTCTGAAACTATATAAATACACAATTCTTCATCAAACTTTAAATTTATTCATTCATTTACTTATATCAGCATGTCCTCATAGTTTCTTGTTTTATTCAGTGAGTTCTAATCCATTACTAGCATTATTTATTTTGATGCTCAAATTGTCCCAGATTTGGACAGTTGCAGGCCCTTAAGGTGGCTCTGGTGACCTTCTGACTATTCTTAGTATTGTTTGAGCATTTCCTTGCTTTTTGACATAAGGTGTTCCAGGCTTTCTCTGCCTCAGCCCTGGAATCAGTCACTTCTCCAAAAAGTTCTCATTCTTATATTTTTTTAATGTTTATTTATTTTTGGGAGAGAGAGAGTGAGAGTGTGCACATGCACATGAGTGGGGGAGGGGCAGAGAGAGAGAGAGAGAGAGAGAGAGAGAGAATCCCAAGCAGGCTCCATGCTGTCAGTTCAGAGCCCAGTGTGGGGCCCAAACCACGAGATCATGACTCAAGCTGAAATCAAGAGTAGGACACTTAACTGACTGAGCCCCCCAGGCCCCAGTTGTGATTTCTTCTAAGGGAAGACTGATATTTAGAAGCCAGTGTATTCATTGCTATTGGGGTGTCATATTCCTGAGCCCTTTAAATAGTAAGAATAAGGGTATATGTAATGTATATATAATTACACACCCATACACATAATATACACACATATATAGCCATTTGTACATCAGTGTCTTTCTACTTATCTGTCATAAACCAAGAATTCACTCTGAAATCTCTAATTCCTGTCCAACACTACAAAGTTCAGTTTTGTTTCCTCCCTTTGATATTTGTAACTCTCTTCGCTGACTGAGAAGCCAGGCTCCCATTATCCTCAATATATTTACTTACTTTATCAGTTGACCTCTATGTAATCAAACTTCATTTCTTTGCCACTCCTTCCCCACATGGATGCCCTTTTACCTGACTTGGTTTCTGACACTTTCCAGTCCAGTTGCTGCCCATCCCATCACGACACAGGTGCTCTCACCATGTGAAAGCACTCCTCACTCTGCTTGGTCTGACATCCTATGCCAAGCACCTTCCCGGGACTCACTTTACCCTATGCCAGGTCAACCCTCTAAAGGGATGCCCTCCATTCCCTGCTTGTGCTCTGATATCCTGTGCCAGTCTGTCACTGTGTGTGGTTGCCACCCTCACCTCTTCAGGCTCTGACTCCCCAGCACAAAACCACCCTCATGGACTCTATCACGCTGTGTCACCCTCACCTGCTCCAGCTCTGACATGCTTTTGTAGGCTGCTCCTGTTCATGGTCACACTCTGCCATGCTTGGGCTCTGCCACCCACACCAGTCTACCTCTTTTCATGGTCACCCTTGATGGGCTCTGACTTGGGCCCCTCACCGTGTTCTTGTTCTGAAACCATGCTCCAGATCACCCTCATATATGGAGGCCCTTCTTACCTGCTTGGTCTCTGATACTCCATGTAAGGCAACCCTTCTATGTGGACAACTTCCTCATTCTTTTCGGGTTTTGACATTGTTTTGGGCTACTGCAGCTCTTTTCTCCCTCCGCTCCCCTCCAGTGTGGATGCCTCCTTCAATAGCTTTAGGACTGAGCTGTTGAGGAAGAGAAGAAGAGCTAAAATAAGCATAGTCTTAATTTTATAATTAATACATGAATACATTGCATTCCCTAACAAAATCATCGTTAAACAGTTTTTAAACTAGCATCTTGGTCCATGCCATAACCCCCAATTCCATTTATTTATGTTTTTTTAGAGGCAGACACTGTTACCAGTTTGGTATGTATCTTTTTAGACTTTCTTCCTTTGTGTATGTATATATAAACATATAGTTGTATGTATGTATATACATACACACATATAGTTTTGCTTTTTTTTTAATTTTTTAAATTTATTTTTTAAATTTACATCCAAGTTAGTTAGTATGTGGTGCAACGATTTCCCACAACCCCTCCAGTAACCCTCTGTTTGTTCTCCATATTTAAGAGTCTCTTATGTTGTTGTCCCCTTCCCTGTCTTCATATTTTTTTTGCTTCCCTTCCCTTATGTTCATCTGTTTTGGTTCTTAAAGTCCTCCTATGAGTGAAGTCATATAATATTTGTCCTTCTCTGACTGATTAATTTCACATAGCATAATACCCTATATATTTATTCACTTAGCATAATACCCATAATAGTTCCATCCACGTAGTTGTGAATGGCAAGATTTCATTATTTTTGATTGCCGAATAATACTCCATTGTGTATATATATATGTGTGTGTGTGTGTGTGTGTGTGTGTGTGTGTGTGTGTGTATATATATGTATATATACATACCACATCTTCTTTATCCATTCATCCATCAATGGATATTTGGGCTCTTTCCATACTTTGGCTATTGTCGATAGTGCTGCTATAAACATTGGGGTGCATGTGCCCCTTCTAAACAGCATACCTGTATCCCTTGGATAAATACCTAGTAGTGCAATTGCTGGGTCATAGGGTAGTTCTACTTTTAATTTTTTGAGGAACCGCCATGCTGTTTTCCAGAGTGACTGCACCAGTTTGCATTCCCACCAGCAGTGCAAAAGAGATCCTCTTTCTCCGCATCCTTGCCAACATCTGTTGTTGCCTGAGTTGTTAATGTTAGCCATTCTGACAGGTGTCAGGTGGTATCTCATTGTGGCTTTGATTTGTATTTCCCTGATGATGAGTGATGTTAAGCATTTTTTTATGTGTCAGTTGGCCATCTGGTTGTCTTCTTTGGAGAAGTGTGTATTCATGTCTTTTGCCCATTTCTTCACTGGATTATTTGGTTTTTGGGTGTTGAGTTTGATAAGTTCTTTATAGATTTTGG